TGGATGTGTACTTAGGGCAGTGTTTATACGGCAGACGCGCCGAGAAGGTTCAGGCATCTTTCCCTCACAACATCGACTGAATGGCGAGGAGCAAGCCTGCAAAGTAATACCAGACTCCTGAAGGACTCTGATGATACCGCGGCTCAGGAGCGTAGCCAGAATTTTTTTAGGGGGGAGGGGGGCAGTTCAACCATACTTTACGTATGTTCGTGTGTGTGTTTGTATGTGTGGGTATATACGCCAGCAACTTTGAAAATTTTCTGGGGTGTTAAAGAGCCCCAGGTGGTCGAAATTTCCGGAATCCTCCACTACGGCGTCTCTCATAATCATATGGTGGTTTTGGGACGTTAAACCCCACATATCTATCTATCTACCTAAATTTTCTGGGGTGAGGGGGGTCGATCCCTTTCCCTCAACTCCCCCCTTGGTTATACGCCCTGGCCGTGACTCATATTGTGCTCTCTGGCAAAGGCAACCAGGAACACCCGTCACAAGTCCAAACGAAGACCGCGTCAGCCCACAATATTCAAGTCAAGGAGAACTCTTAACTGTAAACTCGATCGAGTTGATCGAAAAAGTGACACCGCAGTCGATTTACTCACCCGCTTCTATACTGTTAATCAAGTACCACTTAAAACAGTAGATACAGCGAGTAATCCGGATATTTTGCGTCTAGTTTTCTGTATATAACCGCCATTTGATTAGAAACTTATTAAACGTGTGTGTTTTGCCCAGATATAGTTGATCGATACCTGTTCAAACAATTTGATTTTGTTACGTCTTCTCTCTATTTAAATGCTTACCTACTTATTTCTTTCGTGATGCTTAGTGGCACTGGAAAGAATCGTCTTCTTCAAATCTTTCATCTTTATTTTTCATTCTCGTTCACTGTAAATAAAGGAAAGAATTCTCTAGAAGCACGGACTGCTAGGCGGGTGAGTAGCTCGCCCAGATAAAAAAAAATTAAGAATGTTTTGTACAGTGGAAATTTGGAACAACGTCTGTGATGCTGTGAATTACCAAACATGTGCACAGTGTGTTTTAAACAAGTACATACAATTCTTACATGTCTCTCGTGGATGCTTTTTTCTTTCTTTTTTTGCCGTCTCTCTTTGAAGCCGCACGCTCGCCCTCATTGTTTCTTTCCATCATTAAGCCTTGCATAGCTGCTTAAGAATGCCGTCATACTGCACAAGTAAGAACCCTGATATTATTACACCCCCCACGCGATTTCTATTTGCTTAAGACATGTATCCCTCTGTGATATGAATTTGTATCTGAGCATATACAGAGATTCTCTCATGCAAAGACTGCACGAGAAACCGTGGCCGTCTTGAATGTCTAATCTATTTCAATATACTGCAACGCAGACCGTTTTTCTCGTACTTTTCTTGTACTTTTCTCGCACTTTTCTAACGTTGGAAGAAGATTCGGTCTTGAACGTTCTATATCACGACCACTGAACTTCGTGCACACTTTCTGTTTCTATGCGGGGTGCTTGCCGCACGAAGCTGTTAATCGTTTAAGGAGTGCAGAACCGCCTAGGTTTAAAAGTGTGCCCTTTTCACCTTGGTCTGTTTCGTAGTTTTTTTTTTATTATCTGATTCCGGTTTCTTGTACCTGCAGTAATTTCCAGCTCGAAAGTAGAAAAAAAAAAGCTTCGCCAAGTTTGTTTCTAGGTTGTGTTCTATGTGTTTTTTTCTCTCTTTCGTTCTCGACACAGCCTGAAAAATGAAGGAAGGATTCTCACGTCGTTGGCTTGCTTTGAATTAACTTGAACTTTTCTTTTTTTTTGTTTTATATGCTGAATGCTACTGTTAAAGGAACGCGTGTGTGCAGTATTAAAAAGAAACAGGACAGTCTAGTTCCTGAACATCTTGAGTTGAAATTACTCGCTTATGTGTGAATACTGTTCTTCTTTTTTAAATAACGTTCTTGCTCTTAGGATACGTTTGACTGTAGTTTGCTTTCTTGATGCCACGGATATCGCCCCATCCTCCTCCTTGCTGCGTAGCAAAGATGGACACGATACTTTTGAGCGCGCAATTTTATCTTGTTATCTTGTCTGAAGACATGGTTTGCACTGTACGAAAATAAAAAATAAAATGTTTGCGTTCTTCGTGTGTTTCGCTCTTTTCTCTATTTCGCCGGGCATGACACAATTTTTTTTTTCTGGCAACTTAGCATGCGCCTAGGACATTTCACCATCATTGGTCGGTAGGTTCTGGGATCGCGAACAATGTTTCGAGTAGTTCCGTGCAGCGTCTGTTACTCTGTAGTTGGGAAGAGCTACGCCTGCTTGCAGTCTCTCCAAACGTATAATGAAAAACTTTTGTTGTGCCAAGCCTGAATCTCGAGCGTGGAAGCCACAACAAATATATAAAAGGCGTATGATTTCCGGAAGCATACGCATCCGGCCGCATTGTGACTTTGCTTTAGCACTCCTTCCGCTGAAAGCCCGTGTGCTCAGATTTGGGTGCACGTTAAAGAACCCCAGGTGGTCGAAATTTCCGGAGCCCTCCACTACGGCGTCTCTCATAATCATATGGTGGATTTGGGACATTAAACCTCACATATCAATCAATCAAATATGCAAATGTAAATATGATGAACACATATCTGCAGTGTTTTGTAGCTGCTCATAGCACTTTTTTATAATATCGATTAACGCGTGTTTGGGCGAGTTGGTAATTCACCAAAAAAAATTTTAGAAGCTGTCTTTTCGTCCTTTCGTGTTCTCTCCCATGCTGTTAATTTATATATATGTATTTTGTAAAGTCATCCGTTGAAATCAGGTATTGGTGCTTGTAAATAGAGTTGTCTACTAATACACTTCACTTAATCTATGTATTTGCCCAAGTAACGTAAAAAAATAATTCAATTGTAGGGTTTTACGTGAAAAACTCCTCATACCATCGTTATGTACGTCGGACTTCGGGTTACGTTGACCGTGCAGAATTTCCTTCACGTATACCTAAATATGAATGCACGGGTTTCGTCGCATTCGGCCCCCATCCGAAACGCTGTCATCGTGGCTGGGCATAAAACCTGCCTCCTAGAGCATAGCGGATCGTTTTTGTAGGCGCTATGCAAACCACGGCGGGTTACCAGACTGTATACAAGTTTCAAGCCAGCAATAGAAAAAAAGAATTAAAAGACGCCGGAGTTATGGAGTTCGCGGGTACAGGCTTCAACTGTAAGAGGGAGACACAGTGTTGTTGGGACGCTCTGCTGCTCATCTTAAAAGAAAAGTGTGCCAGGATTATTACAAAGTTTCGAAACTGCGTGTTGTTTGTGTGGCGAGTGCATTATTTAGCAGCCTTGAAACAGGTATGAACACTCACGTCTGGCATGTCAGGGCTCATTTTTGAAGTGCTCTATACCTGTAACACAGGGTGGGCACTGCCTTCAATAACCCCAAAGATGCGCGTGTTACCATGGCGAGAATAGTGACGAAATCGGGCCTCGCAATGCGTTGAGGTCAGGCGCCGTTGTGAGGCATTCTTATTTAGTGTCTATGTCTCGGTAGATTGCGTTACTGAAGTTCGAGTTGTGTCGTGAAACACACCATAGCGCTGGAGTTACGGGGAACCAAACCGTCTCGCATTGTGTTGATGTCATCCGCCGCTCTTAGTTCTCTTATTCAGTTGCTACATCTAGGTGTCCAGTGCGGCTTAAGTTGTCATTACGTTGTATATGACACGATAAAGTTGGAATGACGGGGACGAGGAAGACGACATGACGTGTACCGAGGAACCAACCAAGCGAGAAACATGTACTCCTGAGTCATGACGTCACTGAGAGTCGGCTTGGAAATTCAGACCAACGAGAAGGTATATCAGTCGTAATGGAACGAATTCGGGGATGTGTCCCATTACTCTTTCGGTAGACGCGGTCTTACGGAGTCGCTCCGTTATTGCTGACGTCAATTCAACAGAGCAATGAATGCAACGCTCGTTGTCTGTCGCTGATTGGCTTTCCGTGTGACTTTTTCCTGATTTCTTGTTTGAAATGGACGCACACGAATGCACGAACACACGCACGCACACACGAACGCACACATACGTGACAGTGCCTTTAATTGTGAAAGCGAAGAGTCTAGTCTGCGACGACACACTCCATTTGATATCGTCTCCCTTTATCGTTTTTGAGCCTTCCTGATATTGGGTTTCGTTGGCTCGCGTTAAATTTTGCGTATTTTAATTCGCAACTACAATATTGTGGGAACTTCGCTGTGGTTTTATTTTTTAAGATGCTGGAAAATATTGCTTTACCTGACTGATTCCCACTCCATCGACAAGACAGTGCGTCAAAATTGGTACGTTGTCACGTTACATACTGCGTGTGCACTTTTTTAAACGGGAACGTGGGCCTTCTATTCAACGAAAGTGTCCTATATTGTCTGTAGTTATGAACAGAATATATGAAAGTGCGTTTCTGAGAATAAAAAAAATCCCAGTTGGGAGTTCACTGCATGGTCCCCTGTGTTTGTATTTTTTCGTCGACTCAGCGTAACTTGTGGCATGAGTTCGCAAAGCACGTGTTTCCAAAAACAATTTCTAATTGACCTGCTTCTTTTTTTAAATCGCGTTATCTGCTTTTATCTGCTTTTATTGATTGACGCCTGTTTTCACGAACTGTTCTGTGAATGCGAGCCGTATTCGCTAACTTCCCCCTCTCACGATTGGACTCGGAGAAGCTTCTTCTCTAAGCTTAATGATCTAGTATGCTAAGTTGCATCATCATCATCATCTGATGATGATGATGACGACGACGATGATGATGATGATGCTAAGTCTCAAGGCACATCGGGTCGTCGGCGTTTTTATCTCCCCACAAGGGGAAGGCTTCGCTGCCTTGTTGTGACTGTCTGGTGTGGCGCGTCAGGGAGTTGAGTGCCTCGTTGCTTGCTAAGTTGCTGCTGCTGATCCCTATCTTTTATCGAACGGGATAAAATTAACAAATGACGTGACAGTTGCGTTGCCTTTGTCTCTTTGCAGAACAAGGTTGTGACCGTAGATGACTACAAGGTTAAACTGCAGGTGAGCCATCCTTCTTTTTTTTTTCGTTCTGTGCAGTGTATCGGTGTATTATTTACAATATGACTCTCGTACCTTTGACGCCAGCATACACCTACGGTTATTCTAGTGGAAGGTAAAAATAGTGCCATGATCGTAACAATAGTGTCTGCCTGGTAACTTCCTTCGGTGATTTCTTCACGCAATAGACTGTAATACCAAGTCATTATTAAACAGTTATTATCGCTTTTGGAAAAAAAATAACACTATGTGCGTATCTACTACCTATTATCCGTGTCGGGCTGTTATAAATTGAAAGAGATAAATGAACAACTTCAGGTTACCATTTTGTCAGCTAACGTATTTGGCACTGGATGTGTAAGATTGCCAACTTGGCAATGACGGTTCACTATTTTTTTTTCTCAAAACCAAAATTCTGCAATACCATTTGAAGATTTTCGTACGTTAACAACGTGACAAGCCAAACCTTCTGACGCGTACAGGAGGTTATATATATATATATATATATATATATATATATATATATATATATATATATATATATATATATATATATTGTTAAGCGGTTTATTGACGGACACTCAGCGATGATTCACGACAGCGACAGTCAATGCGGGGATCGACTCTCTGCACGAGCTGCTCTTCTTCTTAAGAAAAAGGGCGACCCACTAGAAGGCGCTGAAGAGGATGACCCACTGTTCAAAGGCTTTACCACAACTACCCCGGGTACGAAAAGGGAGCCGCCTGGCGACCTAACAGCTGGTTACAATGAGCGGGTAATGGTAGGCCTTGAGGCGCTCCACGTTAACAATGTCGCGTCCTCGACGACGCATGTCCGAAGATTGTTCGATGGGTTCAATCAAGTAGTTGACTGGGGAAGTGCATTTGACGACACGGTAGGGGCCTTCGTATTTAGGCAATAGTTTTGAAGATAGGCCAGTTGCAGTAGTAGGGATCGAGAGCCAGACGAGCGCTCCAGGGAGGAATGTGGGTGCAGTAGTACTGGCGTCTGCGCGAATGCTTTTTTGCCGCTCTTGATCATGCGCAGAAAAGGTCTTTGCAAGCTCTCGACATTCTTCAGCAAGCTTGGCTGTAGCAGAAATAGGTGCCCACTCAGACGGATCTGGCCTGTACGGAAGTATCGTGTCGATGGTGTGTGACGGGTGCCTTCCATATAATAAAAAGAAAGGTGAAAAGCCAGTAGTGCTCTGAGGGGCGGTATTATATGCGTAGGTGACGAAGGGTAGAATGGAATCCCAATTTGTGTGATCGGTGGCGACGTATTTGGAGAGCATGTCGCCCAGCGTACGGTTGAAGCGTTCTGTGAGGCCATTCGTCTGCGGGTGGTAAGCAGCAGTTTTGCGGTGAACAACGTTGCACTCTTTGAGAATGGCTTGAACGACTTCAGACAGGAAGACACGGCCTCGGTCACTGAGAAGTTCCTGGGGTGGGCCGTGTCGCAGAATGAATCGTTGGAGCAGAAAGGAAGCCACATCGCTCGCTGTAGCCGCGGGAAGAGCGGCCGTTTCGGCGTATCGCGTGAGGTGGTCCACAGCAACAATGGCCCAGCGGTTACCAGCCGACGTTAGTGGAAGTGGCCCATACAAATCGATGCCAACGCGCCCAAACGGCCTGGCAGGGCAAGGTAGAGGTTGCAGACCTACCGGCGACAGGTGCGTTGAAGTTTTGCGGCGCTGACATTCTATGCAGGAGCGAACGAATTTCTGCACGTAGCGGTACATGCCGCGCCAAAAGTACCGTTGGCGAATGCGGTGGTACGTCTTCGATACCCCGGAGTGCGCACACTGCGGATCAGAATGAAATAATTCGCATATGTCAGAGCGCAGACTGCGAGGTATGACTAGTAGCCACTGGCGGCCGTCACCGTTGTAATTGCGTCGATGGAGGAGGTCGTCGCGAACGGCGAAATGGTGGGCTTGACGACGCAACGCGCGAGTGGATGGAGTGGATGGATCAGTCAGCAAGTCTATCAGTGAGGCAATCCATTGATCCTTGCGCTGTTCAGTAGCAATAGCATGAATGCTAATCGAAGAAATGGCAAGGTGAGACACTGAGTTGGCGTTGTCGTCAGGCAAGGGAGAGCGCGACAGGGCGTCGGCGTCAGCATGTTGCCTTCCATTGCGGTACAGCACGCGGATGTCATAGTCTTGCAGGCGAAGTGCCCACCGGGCGAGACGGCCTGAGGGATCTTTCAATGACGACAACCAGCATAGTGCGTGGTGGTCGGTGACGACATCAAATGGGCGACCATACAAATAAGGTCGGAACTTTGCAAGGGCCCAGACGATTGCCAAACATTCTTTCTCGGTGACTGTGTAATTAGTCTCGGCTTTAGTAAGCGTACGGCTCGCGTACGCCACGACATATTCCGGGAACCCTGGTTTGCGCTGCGCAAGGACAGCGCCGAGGCCGACACCACTGGCATCCGTGTGTACCTCTGTAGGGGCCGTAGGGTCGTAGTGGCGGAGTATGGGAGGCGACGTCAACAAACGACGAAGTGTTCTGAAAGCGTCGTCGCACTGTGATGACCACGAATGGAGAGGCCCGTTACTTCCGAGAAGCTTCGTCAGCGGCGATATGATAGTCGCGAAGTTTCGAATGAAGCGCCGAAAGTAGGAACACAGTCCTACGAAACTGCGCAGTTCCTTCACGGATGTCGGCTTGGGGAACTCGGTCACGGCCCGAAGCTTGGTTGGATCAGGGAGAATTCCGTCCTTGGACACGACGTAGCCGAGTATTGTCAGCTGCCGAGCTGCAAATTGGCACTTCTTTAGGTTCAGTTGCAGACTGGCGTTTCTCAGACGCGTTAAAACATGCCGAAGGCGTTGAAGGTGCGTCGAGAAGTCAGGAGCGAAAACGACGACGTCATCGAGGTAGCACAGGCACGTGTGCCATTTCAGGTCACGCAGAACTGTATCCATCATGCGCTCAAAGGTGGCGGGCGCATTGCACAGCCCAAACGGCATAACGTTAAACTCGTACAAGCCGTCGGGGGTGACAAAAGCGGTCTTTGGTCGAGCGTCCTCAGCCATAGGTACTTGCCAGTACCCTGAGCGCAAATCGAGGGATGAAAAGAATTCTGCTCCTTGCAGGCTGTCGATCGCGTCATCTACCCGCGGTAGTGGATACACGTCCTTACGAGTGATCTTGTTGAGGCGTCGGTAGTCCACACAGAACCGCACAGAACCGTCCTTCTTCGTGACGAGAACGACAGGAGATGCCCAGGGGCTGCTAGAGGGGCGAATAACATCGCGGCGAAGCATGTCGTCGACTTGCTCGTTGATTACACGGCGTTCTGTGGGAGATACGCGATATGGACGTTGCCGCAGCGGTGGCTGTGCGCCTGTGTCGATGCGATGCGTAACGGTGGATGTGCGGCCGAGAGAAGGTTGAGCGACATCGAAAGAAGAGCGGAATTCTTCCAACAGGCCCAAAAGCTGGGAACGCTGGCCCTGCGTAAGGTCGTCGGGTATGCAGGGACCGAATATATCATCGGATGATGAAGCAGATGTCGAAACAGCACCAAGCGTACAGGAACTTGGGTAGTGCATGTCATCGGGTTGATCCATAACTTGCGCGTCTTCGATGGGTTCCACGCTGCCGAGACATTCTCCTCGCACCAACGTAACGCTGTACGGAGATGGGTTCACAACAAAAATAGTGGTGCTGCCGTGAGTGAGTTGGATGGTCGCGAAAGGAACTAGCAAGCTTTTTCTTATGAAAACACGATGAGATGGCGAGAGGAGTGCAGCGGTGTCAGAAAGGCTTGCGCAGTAGAGCGACACCGAAACGGACGAGTTTGCAGGCACTTGAGTGTCGTCTCTGACGAGTAACTTGCTTGCAGCGGATGGACTGTCGGCCGGCGTCAAAGAAGAGAATGGCGCGAGTTCTATTTCTGCTGGTGCGCAATGAATGACGGCGTCGTGGCGGGAAAGAAAATCCCATCCTAGGATGACGTCGTGAGAGCATGAAGAAATTATGATGAATTCGACCGCATACATCACGTCCTGAATCATAAGGCGGGCTGTGCACATCGCTGTAGGGTGAATGCTTTGGGCGCTGGCTGTACGGAGGGAGAGCCCGCAAAGCGGCGTGGTCACTTTGCGCAGTAATCGGCAAAGTTTTTCGTCCATCACGGATACGGCGGCTCCAGTATCTACAAGGGCAGATGCACGAACGCCATCCACAAGCACGTCTATCACGTTCGACGGGCTTTCCTGAGGGCTTCCGCAGTTCGACAGCGTCGCAGCCCTTGCCTCGTGGACTGCGACGACTAGTTTTCCTGGTCGCCCTCGAGTGGACGTGGCCGCATCGGTGACAGTGAGCGACGTCGTGGAGATGGTGAACGGCGGGTAGACGGAACGGGGCGGGACGACGGTGACATAGGCGGCGGTTGGTCATAAGAGCGTCTTGACTGGCTGGGAAAGTTGGAGGCGACCTGCGGTTGCTGCAGACGATTGCAATATCGTGCCACATGACCGACGCAACCGCAAGCAAAACAGATGGGGCGATTATCAGCAGTGCGCCATTGGTTTGCTGGTCGCATCCATGTCGCAGAACGCGATTGGCGAGCCGGCTGCTGATATGAGTGCATGGTAGGCGGCACTCGGGGCACGTGGGTGACGCCGGCGTATGTAGGCGAGACAGGTTCTCCAAAGGCCTGGGGCCTCGCGACGGTTTCGGTGTAATTTAGCGGAACAGTGACAGAAATCGGTGGGGGCGGCCTGGCAACAACTTGGGCGTAGCTGAGTGGCACAGATGCAGGAGGTGGCTGGTGGTATTCAGGGACGACCTCCGCGATTTCCTGCTGAATGGCTCGGCGGAGCGGAGGTAGAAGTGTACTTGATGGCTGTTGAGCTTGTTGTGGGGAAGCAAAAGCCAGTAGAGAGACCTGGCGGGCAACTTCCTCACGCACGAACGACTTGATTTCGGCGAGCAAGGTTGCGTGGTCTGGGACTGCTGACAAGGCCGAGAGATCAGCATCACGTGGTGGCGGACGACGGGTCATCAAGCGCTGCCGCCGCAGCTCGTCGTAACTTTGGCATAACGTGATGACTTCTGCCACAGTGCGGGGGTTCTTTGCCAGGAGCATGGTGAAGGCATCGTCGGCGATGCCTTTTAGAACATGCGTGATTTTGTCAGCCTCTGACATGTTCAGGTCGACTTTCTTGCACAAGTCAAGGATGTCCTCGATATAACTTGTGAAGGACTCACCGGTCTGCTGGGCTCGTTCACGTAAACGCTGTTCAGCTTGCAGCTTACGAACAGCAGGGCGGCCGAACACGTCGACGACAGCGGTTTTAAAAGCGGACCAAGTCGGGAAATCAGATGCGTGGTTATTGTACCACATTCCGGCCACACCCGCAAGGTAGAAGAACAGGTTACCTAGTTTAGCTGCCTCATCCCAATGATTGGGGACGCTCACACGTTCGTACATGGCAAGCCAGTCCTCGACGTCGGTGCCATCCGCGCCGGTGAAGACAGGAGGGTCGCGGATGCGGGGGACACCGGGACATGGCGGCGACGTAGGAGGAAGGGTTTGCTGGGCGGCGTCTTGGTACATGGTTGGAGGCACGGTACGGGATCGAAGCTCCAAGGGCATCGAATGCTGACCGAAGGTGTTTGAAGGGCACAGCACTCTCAGCACTCTCCACCAAATTGTTAAGCGGTTTATTGACGGACACTCAGCGATGATTCACGACAGCGACAGTCAATGCGGGGATCGACTCTCTGCACGAGCTGCTCTTCTTCTTAAGAAAAAGGGCGACCCACTAGAAGGCGCTGAAGAGGATGACCCACTGTTCAAAGGCTTTACCACAATATATATATATATATATATAAATATATATATATATACCTAAGGAGGTCACGTGACTTCAAGCCAAGCGTCATGTACCACGTCATACCACCACTGTAACAACTTGAACCGAAGGCAAGGTTTCGTTCGGCGTTGCGTACATATCGCCATTTTCTGCCAGTGTCACCGGTTGGCCCGTGTCACTGCTGCGCCAACAAATTACGCCGCATCGCTCACTGCTTTCCTGGCGTCACTACTGCCGGAACCAGAGGAGACGGCGACGTGCCGCTGAACGAGTGACGTCATACATGACGTTTCTGCTGAGGTCACGTGACCTCGAGTTGTTCAGCTGCAAGTACTCTCCCGTCTTGCGTACATGCATCGGCATGCGAACTGAACGCCGACTCATGTCGACTTATGTTCCTTCTTATTGGAAATGTGTACATATATTCTCGCAATCGTCGGTTAACGCATCCCGTCGTCGTCAGGCATCGAGCTCAGACGGGTTCTAAGTTCACTTACCATCGGGACTTGTACATCTGAACGAGCGCAATCAGAGAAGGAAGAGACACTTGATGTGCAGTTTTGTTCTGCTTCAGATGTGCATTTTTCTTGGCATGCAAAGCCAGTGAACATGGGATCAGACATTCATCCGATTCTAGACAGATGAAGGGAGCCCCATATATTTCGCGAGCTTGCTGAGCCGCAGAACTAACTACGCGATATGTGAAGTGGCTTTGAAAAAGTGATGACACCATTTTTTAGAAGGTGCGTTTACTAATAAGCCCTGTTCAGAGACGGTTCTGGGAAAGTGCGAGGCTCACCAAATGCTTACCACCTGTTTTATTCTTATATTTGTCCATTTTCCCGAGGCGCACCTGTACCGACATCGACACTATAGCTTGTTGTCAGGCTGCAGTACTAGTTCTGGTGCCCTTCACGTAGCAGTCTGGCTAGTTGTGAAACTTGCGATGACGTCAGGCACCAAAATTTTTAGAATACCGCTTGTGCGTCACCAACCACGGAAGTACAAAAAAAAAGAAAGGAAGAAGCCTCACGTCATACAAGTTAAGCTCAGCGTGTTGACCCAACGTGGGACGAAAACTTCAGCGCGTGTGGTTGTTTTTAGTAGCACCAACAACGTGTCTATAAGGATCTCCAAAACGACTCAAATGTGGACGCTGGTTCAGAGCAGTTTTTGTTTCGCGGTTATGTTTCTAGATATGGTGACCCACGTTAACAATGATTTAGGCTTTTCATGCATTTGTAGCTTACGAACATACCTATTGATTAAAAAAAGAATGTGCGGCCAAGACAGTGACGTGAAGGACGCCGGCCATTTGTCTAAAATCCCTGCTTTAAAGCGCTTCCTGTGTGGTCTTTGTGAGAGAAATCGGTATGCCTTCAAGTGCTGCCACTCATCGAGCTTCATAATGAGCGCATGAATCCCGCAGATTTGGGACACGGCGGGCCAGGAGAGGTTCCGGAGTGTCACGCACGCCTACTACAGGGACGCACACGGTGAGTGAACCTTGTGAGCCATTGCTTCAGTCATCATCATCATCATCATCATCATCATCATCATCATCATCATCATCATCATCAGCCTGACTACGTCCACCGCAGGACAAAGGCCTCTCCCATGTTTCGCCAGTTAACCCGGTCCTGTGCTTGCTGCTGCCAATTTATACCCGCAAGCTTCTTAATCTCATCTTCCCACCTAACCTTCTGTCTCCCCCCAACCCGCTTCCCTTCTCTGGGAATCCAATTAGTTACCCTTAACGACCAGCGGTTATCCTGTCTACGCGCTACATGCCCGGCCCATGTCCATTTCTTCTTCTTGATTTCAGCTATGATATCCTTAACCCCCTTTTGTTCCCTAATCCACTCTGCTCTCTTCTTGTCTCTTAAGGTTACACCTACCATTGCTTGAGTGAGGCTACTTAAAAGGCGATGGTTGATTAATCCTGAATCTTTTAACTAGCCCCTCTGGCTGGTTACATAAAGTTACATGACCGCACTAATCGTAAGTGCATGAAACATGCCTCGAAAAATGCAAATCAGCTAATTACATACCTTTCATAATTTGGGCAAGTCAGGAGAATAAGTACTTTTCAATTTTCGTTTTTGATCATCTTTATTCAAATTGTAGAAATTGTTTTTTTTATTTTGTGTTTCAATTTGCGGGACGCAGACATTGCCTGCTTTCTCGAGAAGTATGTCGCGCAATGAGACAGCCATATACACTTGGAAAAAAAAAAAAGAAGTGTTGCCGGAACCTCATGCCTGCATTAGCGTTTTCGATCGAAATATTACATAAATTGCATGAAATTTTCTCTAACAATTTAGCCACCTTAACTAATCAAAGGCTATAGAGAACGTTCGTGGTTAGAGTTATGGAGAATTTTCGTGACGATGTTGGGCCGGGTTTGCGATAGTGAGCTGCATTTTAGTTCCCGCCTGCTTGTTACGCGCAAAACACCACACGCAGCGAAGCCGATCGACAGGCTGAGTGTTATGTGAAGCCCTCGAGAATTTGAGAGCGTACCCGTGTTTCGGCGCATAGGTGAGAGCCCGTGATTCTGTTGCGGAGTTGTGCATAACCAGCTGCGGTCTCTTTTGTTGTGCTTGGTCTTTGCGAACGTTCCTGGCGGAGTAATGTCGACGATTCTGGAAAGCCCAACGTTGCTAGAGTGCGTTACTAGAGTAAACGTTGGTTATTTCTTGTAACATTCGGGTCAGGCTGCACATGCGGGAAACAGCGTCTAAAGTGCACATGAATGTGTTCGTACATCCTGATCCGGTTTTTATTTGAGCTGCACTTGTGAGTGAGACGACTTCATTAAATCTCTTGCTCATTGATAGCACTGATGTATTTATGCCACAATAAAGTGAGCCTGAAATGTTTTTTTTTCTAAGTTTTGTCGGCGTTTAGGCTAGAGCATCATCAAACCATTCGCACCGCAAATTTAGAGACACTCCGTGTACCAAGGCTGCTACGGACAATTATACCCTTTTTCTCACCGCTGTCTTGACTCCTCAACTCCGGAGACACGCTGGCATCACTGGCGATCGCGAATCTTTGATTAGTGCACCCGACGATTTGAGCTTCGCGCCCAGTCTGGACCTCCGAGATTGCACGCCGATCGGTTGTGTGCAGTCTCGGAGGCCATCACACAGTGCGCCCAGCAGCACGCACTCCGTCTGGCAACAGAGACGAAGATCGAGGAGTGGCTGATATTTGCTCCAACAGGTGCCGCGACCATACCAGCCGATCTGACTTCTGCGCATTCCTCGGCCAATCAGATCAGGAGCCTGGGTAACGTCGCGATAGAAGACCATGCCATTCTGTGAATGGGTGGGTGAAAACACGTTTGGCTGAGTCGCAGCGATCTGCAATGATTCACCGCTTTGAAGCTTTGGAATAAACTATACAGCTCGCGCAAAGAGCTCAAATCTGTCTGTAAATGACCCTTAATACTTGGTCTACCGGCCCAATGTGTTCGTACAAAATGGTCAAAAGCGTTTCGTAGTAAGCGACCTTGTAAAGCGTGCTCCACCACAAGAATATACTTACTGTGGGGAAGCCAATACTTGCAAGCGCGAGTGCGAGTTTTAGGTTGTTGCCAGGAGCGTGCAGCAATAGAGGTACGACGTGTTTGCAAGACGTTATGTTTCATTGCCATAAGCACTTTATGTTAGTATTTACACGCACTTTGTATGCGGCGTGCATTTCCACACGTCCCGCAATTGAAGATGCAGATACTGAAAGGGCAGTACAACCAGTAATCATTATCAACCTACAGATTACGTCACGTGAAAGAATCTTATGAAAAGAAAAAAAAAACACGTGCACGGTAAACTCAGTTCAGACACCTTTCACACGCTTGCACTGGTCATAGTGTAGATATATTAACACGTATATCCTAAAAAATATGCTAAAACATTGGGTGCGGCTACTATGCGGTACCTTTCGTAAATCTCTACTTGTATATTTCCATGCTGCCGTCGAGGTACACATGTGATGGGTCGCAAATCTGCCATGTTCCGTCCTCTCAGGCTAATGAAATTGAGTAATTATTTATGACTTTACGTTTCAGAACTGGGCTAAAAATTTTCGCGCGCCGTGGTGAACTATAGATTAGTTTTGACCTTCCGAAGTTGCTAATTAACACCTAAATTGTAGCGAGCGGCTGTGTTCTTTTTCCTGTTTCACTCCCATTTTAGCGAAGCTGCCGTGGCTGGGAGTCGAACCCTCTTCCTCGTTCTTACGCAGCTTCGATGACATGTAGCTTGGGCAATGGCCGGCTAGATATCGAGCCGTAATATGCGCCGTCTCAGCACCGCAGGCCGAAATAACGAGCTTCAAGTCGGTACGAAGTTTGTTTTCCATTGCTTGACCACTCTTCATCGTTAGTAGCAATATATTAGCTGTTCCTCCTCTGTCCATCACCGCTGTCTACGCACAACTAATCCAAAGCACGAGCCTGCAGTTCGTACGAATGCAGCGTACAATTCGCTGACCGGCTTCCGTAATGACGTGTCCGATATTTAGATTGGCTTACTCCGGTGTTTGCCGAACAACTCTAGATCGATGACAACTCTTGCGAACATGGGTCCCAGATTTTGCAGCGCTGCGTGTTTTTCGACGAGATTGAAAGGAACATTTATGAGGTGTCCTGCGTAGAAAGGAGAGAGCGGCCTTCGAGAGGAACCATCGATTACTCGGCATTATTCAGATACCCAAACAAGCGGTGCATGGCGCCTTGGATTCTATCGCGCGCGTTCCCCTAGAGACTCTTCATTTGGCTGCACTCTGCTTCATTTTGTGCGATGCCCTACTTTGCATGCTTCTCCCAATGCGCATTTATTGGTTCACGCTTGACGAGAGAGAAGTAATGCGCAGTTACAGAACGACGAAAATCGATCATTAATTTAGTCAGTCAATCAATCAATCAATCAATCAATCAACCAGTCAATCAGTCGAGCGTCTTTATTTCTACTTCAAAAAGAAGCAGAAGAAACACGTAATCCGCAATTGATGCAAACATAAGCAAAAGCTTATCGTTTGATGTGTACACTGAAGTTAACCGCTGGATGCATTTACGTCCATCAAGCCTTCCCCACTGAAATATGCACCGTTTGAAGTGACACAGGCCTCACAATGGTCCGATCAATGCCATCATTTGGTTCAGTAACAATTTTCCTGCGTACTTAGGGGCGTGTACTGTTTTTGTTGGCCTGCTTTTCTTCCACCTAACACGAATTTCTAGATACACATGCAACCACTTACAATCGCGGGGCTTCGTGCAGCGTATAGGTCAGTCGATTTGTCTGAGACCTTCTCAGCGCAAGTTAGAATGCCCGCGTGTGTGTCCGTGTTGACAGCGTGTCCCGTATGTATTCGTGCTTCTGCACGAATTCGTTTTGTTTTAACACGAAAGTGTTTTATGCCGGGGGTCTACCACGGCTCCGCTTACGTACTTCCGTCACGGAATGGACGTTTACAAATATATGCGCAAGATATTGCAAAGGAAAAAAAATCAGATGGCAAGCATCAGACGCGCGGAATCGAACCAGCAATTTCTCGCTTCTCAGCGCGCTGCGCAAGCTACTACGCCACAGAGCGTACGTTGCGTGTAATGCTAACGGCAAGCCATTTATATACACCACACACCGTTTGGCAGTCCTCAGAGCTTCGAAACTGTAGCGTGTTTTCGTCATCGGTGGCAAGATGGCGCGACGGGCTCGCGTTAGGGTAAAGCTTTAGCGTTCGGCGCGCTCCAAGGTCGTTGCCTCCACGAATCGCCGCCTCCACGGAGCGCGGTCTCCCCTGCGTGCGCTCTTATCAGACTCGTGATTCTGGAGAGGAGGATGGCCACTTCGCACGCTGCCACGGCCGCGTTTATGAAAGAAGCGCGCTGCTGACACACGACGCAGGAAGAATCGGCAGTTATTCGCGCTTGTCCTGTGTATAATTGTGCTCTCCTTTCGTGCGTCTCTCCTTCTGTTTGAACAGCGTGCGCAATAATTGTCGAGCTGTGACAGTTGCTAGTCCGCGCTCGTCCTGTGTATGCTAATTTTTTTTTTGCGTGCTTTCTGCTCGAGGTGTGCGCTGCAAGTTTCGAGCTGCTTGCTGTTCCTAACGTGATTTTGTGATTCGTTGCTGCTACTTAAACAATGAACAATAAACGCTCAGCTACCTCTGTAAAGACACGTTTCCTTTTCGTGTTATATCGATTCCTATATAGGGGGATCAGGCACGTTTTTCAGCAACTATGCAGTATACAGCCTTATATAACGAATCCTTTTGTATTGGTATACACTGTAGAGCACGTGCTTGATGAGCTTCAATCGTAATCGAAGGTGGTGCGGCTGCATGTTTTCTTTTAACGCCAATGTTTCAGTGCTTGTGGGTAATATACCGATACAAACAACGGCGTGAAAATTCACGATCGAGTAGTCGCTTACGGCTGTTCAGTTGTAGCGGTGTTGAACAGAGGTGTACACATCAAAATCCTTCACAAAAGAACATTTATCGTAAAGGTAGGGGTTGGTCCCCGCGCGAAATAACCTAGCAGGTACGTGAATTAAGGATAAGCGAAACGTATAGTTCTCGCGCATGAAACAATTTTTTTCTGTCATATTCTTTAGCGGCCTCTCTTGAAAGAGTGTTGTACTGCTATGCTTGGTGCGTGATGAAGGGACCAAACAGTGAAACTACATAGGTACGTTAGGGAGTGTGACGGACACAGGCGCTGCCTATAAACCTCTCTTTTCTTAAGTTTTCTTTTTGCACCTTCTTCCGCAGTGTAAGAGTAGTTGCTCACAGTTTTTACCGAAAAATAGAGAGAAAAACATACATTCTATAAAGGCTTGAGTGAAAGTGGGAATGTTCCTTATTCCAAGAACCCTCTGGCCTGGACCGCTACCTAGCTAGACAGAACCAAGGTGATGTTGTTCGCCATCGTTTTGAACTAGTAGACAACATTTTATATTTAGCTTGCTCCCTGAAGGTTGTTCTTAAGCATGGAGGGAAAGCTGCGAAACAAGAACAAACGGGGCGGGACCAAATTTTGATTTTAGAAGGATTTATTTCAGACTTACCTGGCTAAACCTTTACGCTTTGCTCACAGAAAAAAACCAGAGCTTAATTTTGTTTGGCCTTTTCACGATCGCGTACAATATTCTTCCTGACAAGTTCACTTAAACGCTGGTTAATTAGCGCTAGGCTAGGTGTTTCAATTTGTGAAATCTAAGAAAAAGTAGTTTTATACGGCGGTAGGTAATAGTTCCTTGGTTCTATCCAAATACATCACATTTTTTTTGCATAAGCTACGTGAAGCACCTGACATATTTCAGAGACAAGTGCAAGAATAATAGCCGTTAATTAGCACTCTTCTTGTCGTCTTTTATAACGCCCTGCCTGTTTGTTCCCCCCTTTTATAATACCTCAATTATACTTTGTGCTCGTCTCACAGCTCTTTCGTCAACAACCCTGCTCTGTCTTCGCTGCTCTGTCTGTGACGTTCTTCCGCTCACTAACCCGTGCCTGCTTTTCTCACTATAGCGCTCCTGCTTCTCTACGACGTCTCAAACAAGACCAGCTTCGATAACACGAGGGTGAGTGAGCACCTCAACACTTCACGCGTGCCTCGACGCGCCTATACATCGAACGTGCACACAACATATGGCACTCTGCCTGAACATGATCGATTGTGCGGTATCGCTGTTCACGCATGGTTTCAACGAGGGTTAGGAAGGGTTCTCTCTGGGCAATACCTTACCACTGTTCGGAAAGCGAAATGTTCCTATCGGCTCGCCGGATGAGATAATTGCCGTCTTGAAAACATGGCGGCGTGGGCGGATCCAGCCACTAATTTTAAGGGGGGGGGTGCCAGTAAAAGCGGTGAGGGGGGTCCTACAATTTCGTGTTTAGCAGTTACTATCTTCACAGTAACCCCATCGCAGCATAGATATACTGCTAACTTGTTCCGCTTACGGAGGGGGGTGCTGACAAAAGCTTTGAGAAAAAGGCGACCTCCCCCCCTCTCCCCGCCCTGATCTTCCATTGCGTGGAGGTGACACTGGTCAGTCAGTCTACGCGAGGTTGAGCCAATGGGCTCGTTTTCGGAACGGCAGTAACACCTCTGATAATGTTGTTCGCGTATCTGTATGCTACATCTGGCGTTTTCTCAACTGGCGTTAAACTGCTGCGTCCTTAGTTGCTAATCAAACATTAGCCTTTTAGCGACGTCATGGCGACTACAATCCACCTGCTGTTTATTCAAGCTTGCTTATAAACTTTCTTCGTTTCGTATTTAGGGTATACTTTGGTCTGCTAAATGACCCTTCCTTGAAAAAAAAAAACGTTGTGACAAAGAAAATTATTAGACGTACAACACGAACACAAAATGACGCCGACGGAAGCCCCACGTTATTCGTCTTCTTGCATAAACATTATACGCGAGTCAGGTTGGTTTGCGTATTACGAGTGCTGGATAGTGATAGCTAAATCAACCTCACGCTGACTAACGTCAGCAAAATTGTCATGCTGACCACATCACAGCTCGCCACTGCCACAAGCTGTCGCCCCGCAGAGCACGTTGGCTGTTCCACGTCTCGGTAAAGCATATCAATGTAGCCCTCCGTAGCAGTTCGTCGTGGTTAATGTCTGTGGCATAGCTTTGCAGCGTTGGCGTCTCTCATAATCATATGGTGGTTTTGGGACGTTAAACCCCACACAACAACAAAGCTTTGCAGCGTTGGGTGCAAAGCGAACGTAGACTGGTCTTTCCCAACCCTGTGAAGCACCCTTCCTATTATTCTTGTTTGGCTAGCAAAACAGACATAACAGTAGGTATTCTTGAGTGCGTTTCCAGTGGGAGTGTATTGTTGCCAGACAACGGAAAGTATACTGGTGTATAGCGTCCGCTAAAAGGGGCGTTAATTGTGGAGTGCTGACGGCAAGCGTTCTTGAAAAGCGGGTGGTTTATACGTGCTAACAGTGCGGGGATTACTAAAGTGTCGCTTTCTTTCAAACTAAGCATTTTCTAGTTCGAAGCAAACTCTATACGAGGTTTCTGGAATGGTATTTCAAAAGCCCAGGTCTAGTTGTGTCTTGCCTCTACTGTCCGTTTAACGTGTATGTAGATCTAAGTACACTAGCATCTGGAATTTCGCCTCCTTCGGCATGTAAATGACACTGCTAGGATCGAACCGACATCTTTCAGGCCAGCAGCTAAGCACCGTCACCAACGTAGCACCGTGGCTACCACACTTGACGTCCAAATTAACATTTATCAATCCTGAACCCCCTGCTTAAATTCTAGAACTTATATTCTGTATGCCGCGAAATCATTTAAACAGGCTATGGTATAAAGGTGAAAGTACCCTTAAACTACCTCCAATATCTTTTTTTTTGCCATTTCAAGTAAATGTCTTTTTTAAGTGCCCCTTAAGGAAATTTTTGAATAGACCAATTTAATGCGCACTATTGGTTGTGTCGACGCGGGAAGCAGGGACGTATGTGATGATTGGCAAAGTTACATGATTATCGCCAGTTTGGCAGTGTCATTCCGCGGAGGCCAGTAACCCGCACCCCGCAGCGCCACTTGGCGTGGTGCTTCTTTTCATGTATGTCACATGGAACTGGTTCAACTCGTGAACATAATACTGGTTCAACGTAGACTGTTTCAAGTACGCTTTCTTTCCATTAGCAATAAGGTATTGGAATTCTCTAGGCAACTCAATAACTGTTACCCCGAGTTTAACAGAGTTCTTAAGGCTGGTAGAAAAGAAAATGGACAAGATGTGACTATAACTTGTTATCACCTAGTGAATGTGTGTATAAACTCATTTGTGTTTCATCTTATCACTAAATCATGAATTTTCGAAAAGATTTGTAATGAAGAGGTTTTTTTATAACCTGTAACATCAAAACCTGTACGGTATGTTACTTTTGTAAAATGTGTGTGTTTCTTGTTCATACTTATTCAATGAACATTGTATAATGTGTACTACACTCCACCGACTGTGTAACCCCACATTTCTTGAAAATCTCTGACATGTACTGTGTCTATGCCCTTCCTGCGAGAATCCCGTGAGGTATTGGCAGTATGTTTAAATAAATAAATAAATAAATAAATCACCCCAAGTCGTTAAGGTTAAATTGAGCTCTCCATTCACAGTAATGTGGCTGGCAAAATAGTGAGCATCACGAAGAGGCACGACATCGGTCACTGGCCGCACAGTGACACGATCTCTATTGCGATGCGACCGTAGCCGCTGGTGTCCTACCCGCAGCCTTCGGGTCAGTAGCTGAGCACAATAACCACTGCTCCACCGCTGGCTCGGGCGTCATCGTGGAAACAGCGCAAAAAGACGGCGACTCGAGAAGAATGACACAGGATAGGTGTGGGTTCTGTGTCGTTCTGCGCCTGTCCTGGCTGAGCTGTGCCTCTTCTCGTGTTGCTGCACTTTTGCGCTTTTTTTACTGTGAAGATAACCAAGCTAGCTCAGTTTGGCACGCTAACCACTCGCATTGGTAACGATACCTTTGTATTTGCCAGTCGTCGTTCATATAGCAACTTTTGGTGTCGGCTCTTTCCAGCGAGACTCCTTACTTCGTATGTCTGTTAACCTCTCTCTGTCATCTATAAGACGTATCTTCTTGCACCGATGACGCTATAGTTTGGTTTTCTGTTTCGCAGGCGTGGCTGGGCGAGATCAACGAGTACGCGCAGGATGACGTCGTCATAATGCTCATCGGCAACAAGGCCGACATCACGCAGGACCGCCAGGTGCGCACCGAGGACGGCGAGAGACTCGCCAGGGTGAGCGCGACCTTAATTATTAGTACTCTCTTTGTCTCTGCGACGATTGCGTTGACCTCCTCGATTTTGAGTGGGGACCGAGCAGCCAGATGAGGCGTAGTGCTATTTCGGGCGAAAACTTCGGGGGCTCGAGTGGGTGCACGTGCTCGGCGTTCCACCCTCTGGCTTCGCCGCTGCATCTTCTCCGACCCCTTTCCCCGAATGTGCGTGTGCCCATGCGGCCTTTCCATTGAGTGACATGCGTTTGGGTGCAGTCGCTCACAGTGAATGACCGCGTGTCGCCCTTTCAGGAGTACGGCGTGGCCTTCATGGAAACCAGTGCCAAGACAGGCTGCAACGTGGAACTGGCCTTCATGGCCGTGGCACGGTGAGTAGCGCATGCTCTACGCCCTTGTGGGCTGCCCGTAGACTGCAAGGTGGGGCTGATGACGGAGCTTGCAGATTAGCGTACACAACACACTGCATGCGTTGCTATGCAGAAGGGCACATGAATTATAAGGTCTACCGACTAATCCTGGACAAAATAGCAAATTGTAAGAAATTAGTAATAGTTCCCGGGGTTTTATACAAGTGCCAAAGTGACAACAAGATTATAGGGCACACCGCACTGAGGGAACACCGAAATAATTTTTACCGCCTGGGGCCTTTTAATGTGCTCCTATATCCACTTAACACAAGTGTTCTTACATTTGTTCTCTTTGAAATTCGGCCACCATGACCGGAATCCAAACCCACGTTATCGAGCTTAGCGATACGACACCTTGCCTTACCACGGCGGTTAGAAGACCGGTGATCAATAGTTTTTTCCACACTGAATGTTGCTAAATCTTTATGAAAAAAATACCGTTATCAATTTTATGCAAAGAGTATACAGTGAAAGTCGTGCGAACGTCTTTAATGGGTCTTTGTAGACATGATAGGTGTAACGGTAAAACATGAAGGGAGCTGAGTGGGCAAGGAAACAAACGGATGATAATGACATCATGGTTGAGAGAGAGAGAGAGAGAGAGAGAGAGAGAGAGCGACGAAGGACAAAGGTGGTGTAATCTCTGGTCATTAAGGATAAGTGACTGGATTCTAAGAAAAGGCAAACGCACGAGGTTGAGACAGAAGGTTAGGTGGGCAGATGAGAATAAGAATTTTGCGAGTAAAACCTGGAATCAAGACGTACAGGACAGGGTTGATTGGCGAAACATGGGAGTGGTCTTTGCCCTGCAATGGGCGGTAGTGATGACGGTGATGTATACATGTGCAACACTATGGTACAGCAAACACAACTTTCCGTTGTCTTCTTCTGCAGGGAACTGAAGCAGCGGGCGTCCCGGTCGGCGCACGGCGCCTCTGGCCGCTTTAACATGACCGAGTACATTCGCCAGGAGAGCCAAGCCAAGCCCAACGGCTGCTGCAGTAGTTAGGGATGGCGCGTCAAGCTCCGGCTGCCCTTCTAGCACCCCCAGCAAACTGCGCACGCCGCCGCCCCGCCCCCACATCGGCACAGAGTGCTCAACCACCGGCAACCGGTAATGCTGCCGGTACTGGAACTGCTGGCTTCGGGGCCAGCCAATGTCCAGCACCAGCGAAGCCACGCTGGTCTTTGCCGGAACTACGTACTGCCGCCGTTAACCACTCACTTGGCCTTAAAAGGCATGGTTCGGGGCACGACAGTAGCGTTCGGTTCCTGGACGTGATGAGACCAGCTCCAGGACAACCGCTGCTGCCTGGTCGGGAAACCATTTCGCCTGACTGTGCCACCGTTGTGGACGACTGGTATCAAGCACTGCCCTTGTTTCCGCGTCCGTCGGGGGTGCAGCCCTGAATCCAATCCTCGCGCAGCCAGTCGGTTTCTCGGAGGGTCTGCAAGTCCGCGTGTTCGCTAGTGGATGACGTGTAGCGATATTATACTGCTCGTACCGCAGTTCGTTCTGCCCGCGGGTCTTCCGGGGTGGCCAACTGCAGAAAAGGGCTAGATGACACAGCCTGTGGACTGTTACAGCCAGCCTCCCCGGTTTCCCTTTAAGATACAGCAGTGGAAATATTGCGTTTGCCAGAGGGTAGCATTCGCACGTTACGGCAAGGGGAAGTGAAATGCAAGTGGGAGGGAGAAGACATGAATACTGGGCAGCTGATTATTAGGGCCTGTTGTATTTAAAGGTGTGGCTATTGTAGCGAAGAAATACGAGCCAGTTTGTCATTCGAACGTTCGAACGTAACAACAATGCAATGTATTGAACGAGAGACACGCACAAAAAGAAGTGTTCCCAAGAGCATAACGGGACACTTTCGAAGAACCACGTCCACAATCGGATACACATGATCTTGGTGGTTCGAAACCTCGCCTTGCGACAGCTATATACTTGGGGTGTTCATTCCGTTGTTTACGTAACCTACTCGCGTTAATGATCCTACTATAATGTTTCGCGTAGCGGTAGCTGAACGCTGACTGGCTGTGCGGTGGTCACATGGCCGTAGAGAAGCCGTGCACGCAAGCTCAAACGCGCGCACTCTTGCTTTACGCCAAGGAGAGGAGAGACGCGCGTGGAGGCTTGCGTTTTCCCTCTGTTTCCACCCTTCCCTCCCCCTTGTCGACCCAGCCTATACGAAACCGCGCCTGCGGCAGCAGCAGATGCAGTGGACTGAAGCTTGGACTCTGTTGGACTGTGTGCACGTGCGTATGTGTCTATCTGTACGTGTGTCCTCGACTGTACTACGTGTCCATGCGGCAACGGTCGACAACTGACGTATAGTATGCGTGACCCCCTTCCGCGAACTAAATCTCGTGCGTTGGTCTTTTAAGTGAGAAACGATTCTCATAGCGGTGCGCACACTCGAGGCAGTATTTTTCAATGTCTTCAATTCAAAAAGTTCTGCATTCAAAAGGTGTAGCGGTTAGCATGATACGCGAGGCAAGTATACCTCGGTTGTTTGTATCGCGAGATTTTCTCGGACTCGAGATTTTAGAGAGACCTACGTGGTTCATCGTTGCCATCGGTTAAAAGAAACGTGGCTGACAGCAGCCAACTCGCCTATGCCACGAGAGAACCAGCGTTTTCCCAAGTTTGCAGTTCAGTTGGCGTGTTCCTGGGCATGGACCACTTGATGGATTTCAATTCATTGTCGTGTCTAGACAACAGCATGACGTTCTACGTCCAGCTGGCCTCAACACTTTTCGGCGATGCCCGCACTTGCACTGCAAGAGGCTGGCGTGGCAGACTGCGAGATGGCATCAGTTCACCCTGATCATGCGTGGTGACTTATGGGACACTCAGTATTACTGTTATCGTACCGTCTACAAGCATTGACGCTGTGTTCTTCAGTTTGTCTTCCATGTGCAATGTCTGAAAGTGGCTGCACAATGGCGTTCCGATTTCTAAATGTGTCACGATTCGGTAAAAAATGTTGTTGCGATCTGTCTTTGCACTCAGGTTCATAATGTCTCCCGAACTTGTTGTTAAATCTAACCGCAGACTTGTTTACTTATTCACACGTCATTCTATAGCACGATATGGATGTATAATCATTACCAGTGTGGACTGGCATCTATGAATCTGTTTTTAAAGGTTGTAAAGACCGGCTAAATGCAGTTATGAAAGCATAAGTGTTCACGACCCTACATGCTCAAGTGAAGAGATATCTCTGGTAATTCACATTCCTATCGGTAAATTACAATGAACCGTTGAATAAGTGTGAATTCTCTGTTCCAACTCACCTCGCACATGATAGTACATAACTCGTTATCTCTCCTAATCTGATAAACTTGTAATTATGCCTTCCCTGAGCTTATCTTCACGGGTAATGTCGTTTGCCAGCGTTGATGAATAAAGAAACTGGCCGTAAAGGGACACTAAAGGCAACTATTAAGCCGACTTTGATTGTTGAAATAGCGGTCAACAAACCTCGTAGTGTTACTTTTGTGCCACGGAAGGGCCTATTTTGAAATAAAATCACGTTTTAGTGATCCGCATCGGGTTAGCGCACTTCAAAGTACCCGCCTCAAGAAGCGGACCGACCGGACCGACTCAAGTCACTGCTGCCGTGCACAACGTTGCCCGGCTTTACTGCGCTAGTAGCAGCAGACCTGAAAGCAGCGGGAGCCACAGCAGTAACAACGGCCATTGATCAATTTCCCGCCATTGGCTCCAAGACTACATGCGTCTTTTTATTCAACTACGCCCCGCTAGATGGCACCACGTGTCCAACTGTACCTACGCGAAAGTAGAATTTTCGAACCATTCGCGCCATTCGCCATATAACGTCCGGCGGTTATTTTTTTTTTTTCCATGGATCAAACAGAAACGTACAGACAGCATTTTATTGCGTCTCTTGATGCACGAATCAGTGCAGCTAGATCGATTATAGTGATTATGGTAAGCTGTCCGTCTGATGTCATCGGGATCATTTTGAGAATGTCCTATGGCGGCGCATGTGTTCTTGTGCATTTACCTCAATTGCTCGGTAAGTAGGGCACTGCTGTTGATAATATTGTCGTTTTAGATGTCATACATTGAGCTTTCACTACGACTTAAATTGTTATTTGACTTTAGTGTCCCTTTAAAGAATGTACGTATTGCACCGCGTACAGTTGAATGTAATTGTTCAGAAAGTGTTACACGATATGTCTCTGACCTCGAAAGCTCCGTTGTGCTCAAATTCGCTGCAGATTCGCGGTTGAATACCCTCCTATCTAGAGGCGTCACTCAACGTGGCTGTGCTGTCGGGGCAGTGCATTAGGCAGCATACGCAGCTTCGTTGCAAATCGGTTCTGTGGAATCCCGCGAGGTGGCGGCAATTCTTCTTACTGCTTCATTTCACATGATAATGCACCGTGTTTGCTTTCGGGAGATACAGGGTGCTTTGTGCCGGTTGCGCATGTGTGCCCTCCTCCGCTTGTGTTCCTTCTTCACGGTCGAGATGGATGTTATTCCGCTCCGTGCGGTAGCCACGAAAGTGCGTGGTCAAATCACATTGTTTCACTGTTGTTACACTTAACGCAGTGTCTCAGTATGCTTTTTTTTTTTAAGTTGAGTGTTCAATGTTACATATACACCGGATGCTCGAAATGAATACCGCCTTATTCCCTCAGGACTGCACTTTCATTTCCAACGCGTAGAACATGCATGTGGTGACGTGCGGCTATAATGCCAGGCACGAACAGTGACTTAACGTAGCTTCGATCGCGGAGGTTTACTAGCGCAGCAGCAGTATCTTCAACTGGCTGCATCACCGAGAAATCTAACCACGCGAAACGCGAAGGCCTCTCTGCTGTTGTAGACATGTTTTTTTTTTTTCGTGAGGCACGCGCGACTCCAAAAGAAAACACTGAGTGCGGGTGCCGTTACTCGGTGGGGTTTCGCATTTTACTACTGCGCACAAAACGCTCATTTACATGCTGATGTCTAAGATAGCAACTTCCTGTTAAGGTCGCAGCGACAGCCTGGCGCCGAAGAACGGTGAGATGTCCTCGTTGACGTGGAGCTGCTGCGCCGGCATAATTTTATAACGAACCTGCAAAAACAGCCCGAGTGCACTCACCTTCGGGATTCGAACATTCGTGCGCGCGAAGATAGCAATGCACTCATCCTTATTGTCGGGCTTCTTCTCGAGTGTTCTATACGAAAACATGTAGTACATCCTGGTGTCACTACAGTGGGTGTTCTGGTTTAAAAGAAATGCATTCGTTTTCGTTGTGTCATGTTGTGAGATTCCTTATCCACTCCATCCCCACCCTCCCTCGACCTCCTCGTTACATGGCGTGTGTGTCGTTGTTGAGCGCGGGGATAAATTCACAAGCCCACACTAGCGGGTACCTAGTAGCAGAGCAACGAGTTGTATAAGATGTTGTTGTGGGGCAGTTTCCCGTTCGAGTGTTGCATTCTATGGTGTAACTGTTCGATGTATACATGACTGAGGCCGGAGTGTGCCGCCGCTGTGTTTCATAACATGTGCAGCACAGCACGTGTCGCAAGCGTTGAGCTGGTTTCGGTTGCCTACAGTGACGCCTCCGAGTCCGTGATGATCGGCTGTGGATTTTTTTTTTTTCGCAAGCGACAACGTTCACGCTTAGACATGTCGCTCCCATGAGTGGTCTCATTGTCACAGCGGATCTGTCGTAAAGCGGCAATTCGAATCCGTTGATGTGGGCCTCTTGCGACAGGTGGCGGTGCACCCGTGCTTTCACGTTTTGACCATGCTGCGTTTTGACCATTTGACCATGCTGCGGGAAAGATAAGGAAACGGCGGAGCATGTTCTGATTGAATGTGGAGATATCCACCCAGGTGTACGTTTGGGCACGAGCCTACAGGAAGCCTTGGGTTTTAGGGACAACAATGGAAAGCTGAACACACCCGCGATTGAAATAAGTAAGAGACGGTTAGAGTATTGGTGGCAGAAAATTAGAGAGAAAGGACAAAAATAAATATTGGAAAAATAAAATATGGACAGTGTGCCGTAAATGGCAGAGAACTTAAGCTGAAAATTTACCTTTTTTTCTATTAAGATAGAATTTATCGAAGTAGAGGCATTAGGCCAACATAAAAAGAAAAAAAGTTTTTTTTTTTTTTGTCGAGCCTGGTGGCATACTTGTCACCACCCCGTTATAAAGGGGACGCTCATAGCATCCATCCATCCATCCACGTGCACTTGCACAGGTTTGCAGTCAGTATTTCTAGCGCTGCGCACAACTTCCGGAGAAGAGTGCGCGAGACACATGGTGCTTCGTTTCTAAAGCGTACCAATCCGCGAAGTGGCTTCAAGCCAAGCCTACGCACATGAAGCCCAAGCACGACAGTACATATTTGATGAAAACCTATCGCTTCGTTTCGGACATAGCCTGCAATCCCCAAAGTGCTTTCTGTTTCTTTAGAATTGATATTTGTCGGAGTGCGAAGAATAGTGTGAGGCGTGAGCAACCCGCTCGGCCGCTGCGCACCTGTTTATGGCTCCGGGTTTCCCACTTCGTTCTGCCTGACACTGATTGATCGGCTGTCTGTTCGAATAGCCACTGCTTGTCTCGAATTCGTCCCTGTACAACGCTTCACACTATACTTGTAACTCAATTCGGAAAGCTTCAGAAAGCTATAGGATAGGGTCGCGTTCACTATCTCTCACACACGTAAAGAATTTTCTTAGAATTGTTACCTTTGTAAAAAAAAAAGATCTACAAGCTGGCTTTCCTGCGAAACTGTATTTCCGAACGAAAACAGTCGATCACAGAATGCTTTTCCGGCTCTAAGCGTGTTCACACCTCCACATACGCAAGATTGTGTGTGAGCCCCACGAAGACTTTTCGAAGGAGATGGCGGTAATGCAGCCGTTGACGGTGCACAGGAGAGGGGGAAAAAAAGGGGGGGGGGAAGAAACTAAAGACAGTGGCGAGTGTTTAATGGAAAGAATAGTTATGCTATAGTCGAAAGTCGATGTTGGAAACTATATCCGCTTGTGCACGCGCAGACTGCGAAGTGTCATCCCTTATTTGCAGAGCCAGAGCAAACAACAAAGACAAAGTAAAAAATTGACCGTGTATCTGGCTGCTTCACTGCAAATGTCGTCAAAAGACGGTAGTCTTCTGCCGGCATTTTTCCGTGCCTAGCATCGCGTTTCCAGCGCAGGCTAAGAAACGCAAGGGTCCTTAGAATTGCGTATCTACATATTTTCTACTAAAGGAACACACCACCTAGTACTTACGCATTGATGTTACGCCTTATATTTTCGTAATATTTGCTTTTTAATCGACAATGTTCACAAGTATGAACACAGCCACCAGTTGAAGATGCGGGCAGCTGAATCTTGTGACAGACAGATAGGCAGACAGACAAAAATTTTTGCGTTCAAGCCACCCCAAGAAAGACTATCGTCCTTAAAAGGACCAGGCACCCCTCTTCGTCTTTGTTGTTTGCTTCGGTTAAGAACGCATGGAACAACAGCTCTTGCAACGTTTACTTTTCTTAGAATTATTCCTGAGAAATTCTAGCAATCATGATATGCTAGGCTAATCATCAGCAGCCCGGTTGGCCAATCGGAATGAGCGCTTGTGACCTTTACAGTGAATTCGGCCACTGCCGCACTCGGTTGATAATTTGACGTCCCGTGCACTTATAGAATGAGAACTAACAGATAACCAGGCTGGCAGGTATGATGTTGTTTTTTTTCTTTTTTGCATTACAATGCTACTCTTTTTAGTATTTTGGCCTTTTCTTTAGGTTCAGCCGCACCTAAGGAACTTGAGGTGGTTAACATTATTCTCGGCCCTCCTGTACAGCGCGCCACGTTATCGAATCGCCGTTTTGGCTCGTATAGTCAAATTCGACAATTCATGTTAATCATGGGTCCGAGCTTCGCTCCGCCCGTTCCATCGTATCATCGGAATCGGCTGACCGTGACCAGTAAATAATCATCGATAGAAATGAATTCTTACGTGATACCAACCCTTTATTTATCGTGCTTATCTTCGTTCGAGTAAGTCAAGTTCTAACACTTAACCTTAATTGCCTCCTTTCACGCGCGCGTACTTTATTTATTTTTTAGACCCTTATTGTTGTTGTCCTTTCTCGTTACGTATCACGACGACTGTATATAAATCGCCGCAGCCATGTTCCTTCTTTGAAACTGGAAAAGAGAATCCGACGTTGCCCTATACAGTGAAGTATCTTATTTGGCGGGAACTTTAATTCCGTGCAGAATGTTTCATATCGCGCGAGCTTCGAACCAGTTGCTCCTTGAGTTCGGCGCCGTGCTTATGTATTCAATTGCAGTAGTACAAGGAGCATCGCTTTAACGTGACTGAATATTGGTCGTTCAGCAAAAGGCCTATCATTGACAGTGATTAATTGGAGAAGTTGAAACACGTTCGC